TTTTTTTTTTTTTCTTTTTTTTGAGTTCTCCTTTCTTTGTATTATTAATTCAGAGAACTTATTCTGTCCTCTTACTAGTTTTAAATATATAGAGAAAAAACTATTTTTAGTAGCTCTTTCCACCTGTTTTTGTCATTTTACTTGATAGAACTGCTATTTCCACTATATTTTCTGTTAAAAATGTTTTTGTTTTTAGTTTCTTTATATGTCTGAATACAATTCCATAAGAGAATTTTCTYACAGAACCTTACATCAAGACTTTTAAATGTGCTTGATTTTACAAAATGCTTGTGGGTAGAAATCAAGAATCACACATTCTTGAGCTGTTGTGAAAGTCATGGCACTTTAAAAGGTAATGTGTGGCGAGGACGGGTGTTTGCCTGTAGTTTTTGAGCCAGTGCCATGTTCACTTCTTGCACATTTTCAAGCTCTTCTTCAAAGTGGCAGGTATTGGGACCGTGTGTTCTGAGCCAGTGTCTCTGCGGGCTGTGTCCACTGGCACGTAGTGTGGCCCAGCAGGGCAAGGCCTGGGCGTCCTCCTCAGCTTAGTGTCCCAGGTGTGGAGTSAGTGCAGAGGCCCTGCACCATCACCACCGTCCACACTAGGCACCTTCCAGGTTTTCCTCTGCTTCCTGGTTTTCACACCTTGGATGAGCTATAGCCTGGCCTGGTGGCCGACTGCCTGAGGCCAGCGGTCAAAGCACAAGAGCAAAGCAGCTAGTGGAGGTGGTGAGAAGAGTGACCTCACAAGCTCAACTACCGCACTGATGCCCTGTGCGCTGCACAGTTGCCTCTGCAGAAAAGTTTGTACTACCCTGTGTTGCTGATATTCAGAGTTAGTATCACCATGTGACTCAATACGGTTTAACGAGACCCATCCTAATTACAGACTTGGATTCCTACAGAGTGGTGTGTAGGAATTTCATTTCAGGCTATTTCTGAGAAAGACAAAATGCATTTTACGCACAGTTAGTCAGAAACACAAAAGTAGCACTTCAGGTATCCAAAACATGTGTAAGGTTTTGCTGTTGAGACATCTTTCCATGATTTGGCAGTTCTGTGACAATATTTCTTCCATCTTTAATGAGTACTCTGAGCACGGCTAAACTTCCTTTTATTGAATTCATTAGGAACTCGATAATGAATTTTTTAACTACACCTTTTAAGTAGTACTTTGCTTTGGATCAAAGATAAATGCTACTTGTAACATGTAGCATGTTTTAATATTAAATAACCTTGCTTAATGACATCTAAAACAAAGGACTTTTCATGCCTTTGCTAAGGATTTTTTTGGCTTAGAAACATAGTATTTTGAATTTCATGCAGCAGGTGAATATTCTTCATTGTATTCAGAAGACTCTAAGAAAAACAAATTCACTTGCAAGTTTCTTTTTTAACCTATTTTGAAGCAATACAAACCAGAAAGTTCATTTTAGTCTTAAAAGGAAAAGGAGAAGGAAGAATCAAGCCATAACTGCAGATGTTATTCTGTGTTGGCTCAGTCTTGTAATAAGAAGTTTTTAATCTGGCTTGAATTTTTTTGGCTTGAATATTGCTTTTTTTTTTTTTCCTCCTCATTTTACAGCACAGAGAAAACATAAATTAACTTCATAAAATTTTATCTGACAGACTTTGATAGATTACAATTTCTTTTTAAAAAGTAGTCATGGTTGTTCAAACGATGTCCAAAAGCACATGTTCATTATCAAACAACATTTGCTCTTTGAAAAAGGTGAATTATGACAGTTGTTTAGATCAGAAGTGGAATTACTTTTCTGCACGCAGGAATGCTTGTTTTAAATTTTCCAATAAAATAGGAAATTGTGTAATTATGGGGTTTTGTAATAGGGRAAAAAAACCTCTTTCTGGAACATAATACTTATAGACTTAATTTTATTTCCTTATTATACTGTTATGTATCTTTATAAAATACTGTGCTGGCATTACTTTAGCCTTGTTGTGTTTCAACAGATTTTTTTCAAAAATAACATTTACATTTATAAATATCATTGAATAATCATTGATTATTCAGACTCACCTTTTCCATTACAGCTATGTATATCTTCTTTGTGTGTATGTACATCCCTTGAGTGAAATGCTAAGGACCAATTACATACTGTTTTGAAGGAAAAATCTAAAACGATGTTTCATGAATTGAATAATACAATCTCAGATTTCCTGTTGCTTGATTGAAAACTGTTCTGGTGATTCTTTAAGCCATATAAGGGATCTGTGAAACTGCATTTCAGGATACTTGTACATTAAAATTAAATTAATAGGCTTGAATTTTAAGCAACAAAACCTCATAGTAAATCTGATGCTGTAAACTTGTATCTTTTTTTAATCAATATTAATTTTCCCATACATAGTTTGACCTATATATTATGGAAGAACCAGTAAAAACAGGTTTCTGAAACTTCAGCATTTAATTTAGCATGAAACCATCAGATTGCTCTTACAAAGTGTATTTTTAATACTGTTAATGACAGTAGCTTAGGGTTAATCTAGTAGAGTCATTTGGGTTAGCTGAGCTTGCAGAACTTCAAAAATCATTATTGGATTCAAAATATGAATGACTAATTTATAATGTTGACTTACTATCAGAAATTGTGGCAAATTATACATTTATTGTTTGTGGTGGAGGTTTGGTCAACATCTTTAAACAACCTCTCTGTAAAACCAGTAAAAAACAGAGAATCACCTTATTAATACCTGCTAATTTAAATGCCCATGAAACAGTAGGATTCTTCTTACCTACTTCTGACTCAATGTTTTTACCTTCAGAGTCATCTTAGCAAAGGGCTAGGAGCAAAACCAAATTCCCACTCATACCAAGTGATCTAATTTATCATATATCTTYATCATTTTAATGGAGGCTGGGTCTCAACTATCCTGTAGGCGGGTAGCTGAAGGAAAGGTGACACTGGAGTGGAAGGTGCTGTATGAGGTGCAGTCTGTTTATTCCGATATATCTAATCTTATAGACAAAGTCACTTTTTTGACTATTTTAAGATGGGAAGATAAGATCAGAAATTTTTAATCTGAATGCTTCATGATTGAAGTAACCCCTTCACTAAGCAGGCAGGAGTTTGTGCATTGAAAAAATGTTTTCCCTCCAGTAATGTACTTCCTGCCTGCCTTCTGTGTGGATCTATTGCTGTCCTTCCTTGGGTAATCCTTTCATGGTAAATTAAAAATGAAAAGTGTGCGTTTCTGTGGTAAGAATATAGTGTGCTTTTTTTTTTTCTCCTTCAGATATTATAGGATGATTCTGTGTAACATATATGTCATTTTATGTTGATTGGCCTAAAATTTTCCTGTCCCAAATAATCATCTCTGATAGTATAGGCATCCCTAAGTCAGCTCCATCTAAACCACAATGGAAATACACTTCTGAAGTATTCCCAGTAGCAATCTTGGAATTCCTTCAAGTATATTGAGATTTTGTTAGAAATTGAATTGCCAGTGTAATCCATCTTCCTTGTGAGAAAAGATTCAGATAAAGAGCTGGAGCCTAGCAGCATTAAGTATTAGAACATCCCTTTAAATCAATAAGCTACAAATCTGGCAGCGCATTCATGCAATGCCCAGTGCTATAGTAAAGTGGCTTTAGTGCTGAAACAGCATTACTAATAGCATATCCCCAACACGGATAAACAGTTGAGTGATGCGGTAACCTAAATTATGCCAGGCCTTGCCTTGTTAAGTTCCACAGAAACAATTATATTGCATTGACATGGATAAGGAAGCAAGTTTTKTTCTGGTTTTTATTTTTGTTTTGTTTTGGTTTTCTTTCAGATGACTTTCCAAATGTGGTTATAGAAGGCATTCTGCATGGAATATTTTATCCGCATCTACTGCCCAGGTAGAAGTGATGTGTGATTAGAAGAAGCTGAAGCAAGTCTTCAAGTCATGCTCAATGGAATTAATGAGAAAAAGTCTGGAATGTGATAATTATGCTCAGAAGGAAGAGGGACAGTCTCAGTTTAAGGTTCAAGCATTATACTTTTTTTAAAAAAARATCAATGTCATATCTGCTGCTTTAAAAAAAAAGATATGGAAACAACTGTAATGAAGTTATTTAAACCTTATATATAGACGTGCTCTAACTATTTAACACTAAAAGCTTAAAGTCATACACTGAATTACACTAAATGTTGACAAAGAATTGAAAGTTTTACTAATTATTTTTTGATTTTTGTCATAAATTACACTAAACATTTTTTGCACCAGGAATTTTCCCAGCACATTACCCATTGCAGGCAGTGGATGGATTGAAAGTGCTGGCACTAAAGACAGTATCTGAAGGTTTGCAAAGGAAGTTTTAAAAGCAAGAAGAAATGGAAAGTAACTTAGAAGTATTTTGTTCATTTTTCTTAAGTTATTTTAAAACTATTCCTTACTATTAGGTTGGAAAACAGCCAATGCACGTATATGGAGAGTTTTTGTTAGAAAACATGCTTTTATGTTTTTAAGTACATAGCTGCCTTCCAGGAAGTTGTCTGGATTGCAGTCTGAAGGATTTTATCTACCAGATTTTACGTGGCATTTATGAATCTCGTTCAGTTATGACAACTAAAGTGTGTGTGTTTACTCTTCGCGTCAACTTGTAGACCGTATTCCATATCTTAATATTTTATGAATCAGTGCATACGACTTTGTGGTGAGATGAAGCAAGAACATGATTAAGTAGTAAAATAACAAACTAAACATGGATGTACATGTTCAGATTTAACTGGAATTTTTTTGTGTTACTGGACATTACAAAATAAAGTACTACAACACGAATATACTTTGTGCGCYTATCTGTTAAACAAAGACATTCTTGGAGCTTGTGCCATCAGAGGTGGTGCATGTCACATGAAGCACGAGAAAATACTTGGGTGTCTTCTCATTTGAGACTCTTAGCTTCATGATCTCTGAAGATTTATAAAATTGTATGTCGTCTTAGAAGAACAGTATTTTTCAGTGTAGCTGGATAACCAGTAATTCATTGCATTACACAGAGAAAAGGAATGTTGCACAGAAACAGTGGTGTCCAGCTCTGCCATTAACACAAATTTGAGTTTGGAGAAGCGAGAGTTGCCTCCAGCAGGCTTTGTAATTTGTTTCAAAGCTGCTTAGGGTGGGTGAAAAGTTGGGASTTTCTTAAAAAGGACCTCTAGGATTACAGCCCTTGTTCAGGTGTGGAACTTTCTCAACTGTCCAAGGGATCTACCTCCAGAAAAACACTGTTAGCTCCAAGTGCAAAGCTATTTGGGCAAGGGAGAGCAAGGCCTTCATGCCTTTATTTTCAAACACTGCTTCTCAGTGCAGCTTTTTAGTGACTTTTTACAGCGAGCACTGGTAGGGAAAACAAATACACAGCACAGCCTGAACCAGGAGTTGAATGGAAGCCTGATTGCCTAGCACTAGGCAAAGTTGGAGGCTCTCTCCATTCCTCTGGCCTCAAGAGGAGAGTAATCCTTCCAGGAGCCATTGTAAAAGGTTCCTGGTGCCAGACCTTCATCCACAGCCCGGAGGCATCTTCTGGTGACCCAGCAAAAGCAGCACTCCTTCTTGGAAAACACTAACAGGTTAAAAAAATGCAGTACAGCTAAGAGGTAYCTTAAACTGAACTTATAATTCAGTTCAACATAATTGAACATAAAAGCTCGATTAAAGTTAAGGGTATTTAAAGTTCATTATTTTTGTAAAACTATTTAAAGATGCAGGTCTGGCAACAAAAAATTCTAGGTAGTGTTTTGGAACTATATCCTAGATTATTTTACTAGTTAGTTATGAGTTATAAAATMCCTTATGCTTTAAAACAAGGGCTTTTTAAATCAGTTTCTAACCAATGATTTCATTTAACAATAAACTAAGCTGCTCTATCTCAATTACACTATTGTATCTAAATACAATTTTTTACTGAAAGGCAGTAGGGACTTCATCTGACACATTAAGGAAATTAGATTTACCACCCCTGCTCTTTTATTTGTTGGAAAGAAGCATCCCAGCATCACTTATTAAATCAAAAGAGGCTACAAGAAAAGCCAGTTTGGAAAAAAAAAAAAAAAAACACTCTTATTTATTTGAAATCAAAGAGTTTATTTTTTCCAAATATTAAAATATTTTAGGAATTTTTTTAAAAGTAGACATTGTCACAGAAAATGTTCTCAAATGGCAGTAAGAAGTATTGTAAAATTTCTAAAGAAAATGAATTGACTCCATTTCAAACCTTATAAAACATAGAAATATTTTTGAATTTTTCATGTAAAAAAATTCTGCAAGTTCTATGATTTAGTGGCATATGCCCTGAACTTTGAGGAGTAAAGCTTCTATTCCTTTACAATGAGATTTACAATGAAATTGTAAAGGAATAATCATAATTTGATGTATCTGGGAAATGTTAAATGTTGTCTACATATATGTTTTGAGGAAAAAAGTCAATGGATAAAAAAAGATAATTGAGATAACTTAGGCCTGAAAGAAGAATGACTGCATTGTTTCCCATGCAGCTTGCTGGGTTCACCAGTCATCCACTTCAACCACAAATGGTTCCTTCACAGATATTCTGCCACTGTTCACAATGACACAGTCTTGGAGGGGGCGATCSTGTTCATCTGTCTGCTGGAGCTCTATCGAGTGCACCACCGACTGTTAAAAAACAAACAAAAAAACTCAGTTTAGCCAAGAAAATGCTTYGGTGGCTCAAGTCCATTTACCACGTAAGTAAGTAGGTGTTCTTAGCACTATATTTTATGAGCAACCTTTTGACACAACCCTTTCCTAGGCTGAGTCCCAACTGACACTGTTTCCCTGCTATCAACTGTACCGTTCTGCCGCCCGCACACAGGTGACAGCACCACATGGAAGGCTGTGTGCCCTGCTTTAAACCTTMCAGGCAGAAAAAAAAAGTATTAAACAGTAATTTTTTGACCATTCAGCACTATTATACTTTTTACAAAAGCCTGATGACTCCTCTGTTTATACTTAGACAATAAGAGTGGGCACCATGCTCTCCAGTACCTGGCTTTAGRTAACTGCCAATTAATATACCTAAATCACCCTAAAACACCCCAAAATCTTTTAATTATTAGAATAGTTGATGGGAATTGAATTCAATATGAAAGATGTGGGCCAAAGGAAGTATGTTCTGATGAGGTTTTCAAACTRCATGGATTTGATCAGTGTAATCAGTCATACTTTCCCCATACATTTCAAAGCCGATCAAGGGAGTAAGTTAAAGGAAAAAACAGATTAGTAGAAGTATAGTCTTTCAGAAGATCTGTTTCTTAAACTGAAATTCTTTTTGTCACATATTGGGTCAGTTTTGCAGCTGGACAGTCTGTGGGTGCTGGGTATGCATTTTTTTATTTTTTTTCTTTTCAAACATACTTGAATCTACGTTTATATAATCATAGAATCATAGAATTATTAAGGTTGGAATGGACCTCCAGAGGTCATCTACTCCAACCCCCCTGCATATGCAGGGACACTCGGAGCACATGGCACAGGGCTGCGTCCAAGCGGGTTTTAAACATCTCCCGAGAAGGAGACTCCACAACCTCTCTGGGCAGCCTGTGCCRGGGCTCGTCACCTTCACTGTTAAGAATTTTTTTCTTAAGTTCCTGTGGAAGTTTCGGTGCTTCGTTTGTGGCCATCTCCTCTAGTTCYGTCAGTGGCTGCCACTGCCAAGATGCCAGCCCCMTCCTCCTCACTCCCTCCCTTGAGGTATTTATAGACACTAATCAGATGCTCCCTCAGCCTTCTCTTCTTTAGGCTGAACAGGCATAATATACTCCACAGTATGAAAGCCCAAAACATGGAAGTGTTACTCACCACTGGTATATCTCAAAAATTATTTTTAGCWTGTGGAAAAACAAAAATTATTTCATAGTTAACAGGATTAGTGAAAGAGAGACCTGAAATTATCCGGTTTGTAGTTTGTAAAGATGTTGAGTTTGATGGTTATTGGTCTAAACCAAGAAATTTGAAAAACAAATTATTTACATAAGTTTCCATTTCTGTAATCACCACTTGGATTTTCAGTTCTGATCTAAACACATTCTCTACCTTGTCCACATTAGACAATAAATTGTTTTAAATGACAATGGCATGATAGATTATGGCCACACAGATATAAGGCCCTGAAACTGATCCTRCTTTTCCAGGGGTAGTCTTATCCACCATTTTTTCACACTTACCATTCCATCAAGGACTTTGCCAAATACTACGTGTTTTCCATTCAGCCAGGAAGGCTTTGTGACACTGATAAAGAACTGAGATCCGTTAGTATCTGGGCCAGAATTAGCCATGCTAACCCATCCAATTCCATAATGCTTAAGTTTGAAGTTCTCATCTGGAAATCTYTCTCCATAGATACTCCTTCCTGTGGTACAAAATAAGAAAGTGAATTTTTAATTTTTGTTCAGAATTGGAAACAAATAAGTACAAGCCAGCACTTGATAAGATTTAGAGGTTCAGTAAAAGCAGGGCCATCATTGCTACACCATCGGTGATCTGTCACTAGAAGCACTTTGTATGTAAAGAAAAAGGAAAGCTAAAACACCAGCTGTTACTACAGAATATTTAAAGTTGATCAACTTTTGGCCTTCGAGTTTAATCAGTTGAGTATCTTCAACGGTCCTGCTTATATACACCACAAGGAAATACTATATTTTGGCCTTTTCAGTGAATTTAAATTAGGTAATTACGGCCACTGAAATAAGAACCACACTTTGTGACAATTTTAATATTTAGTTTTTTAACTTTCTCTGCTAGCATATAAAAATGCTTTAGGCACATTTACAAACTGTCCTGATCCACTGTAGGGGGAAGTTTTGACACGATCCCAAGCGCCAGATTAAGACATAAATGGGGTCAAATGCCATAGGACCTCGTAAGCTCTATTCTCATAACGAGGAGTAATCGTGATAGGACAGAGAGAAGAAAGAAAAAGGGAAAACAAGAAAAAAGAGCAAGAGAGTACACAAGCAGGYGGGAGGCAAGGTTTGTTACCACCACCACCAGTCCAGCTATGCCCATGTTGGCTCTGCCTTGGTGCAGGTCATGGGCTCCGGAAGAAGAGTCCAGGGAAAAAGGAAAAAGCCCCCGGGGGGAGCACGCAGTCCTTCTGTCACCCTGATCTCTAAGAGCCCTCCTGCCTGTTTCCCCGAGTTCCTGATGGGTGCTGCCGCGCTCCGGTGCTCCCGGGGCTCCCTCTTCACCCGGCTGCCGCGCAGGCCTCGGCAGGAGCTGCCGGAGGCGTCGCTGCCCAGGCGCCGAGCGCACAGGGCGCCGAGCCGGCCWGTGGAAACGGCAACGCCGACACAGACATGATCCAACACAGTCTCTTACACAGACACAGGGACCACGTGACGGTTAGCTTAAAAGTSCCAAGATGGAACTGTATGAATATTACACAAGGATTTTGATATTTCTAAAAYAGTTTAGGAGAAGAAAAAGCATGAGAGCCGTTTTTCAACCACCGTGGTTTTGAGAAGGCTGCCTCACGCTTTGCCTGCGCAGTGGCTAACCAGACACAGCTCACCCACGGGTACTACCTTGACCAACACTAGCGGGCAAACAAACACTGCCTACCTTGAGCTCTACACTGCGTCCTCAGGGTTTTAGCCTTCCCCACGGTTCAAACCGCAAGGAAAAAGGAGCTGCCAAGGTTTCCACCGAGTCCCCGAGGGGAAGTCACCAACTCGGCACGCAGGAGGGTCACACGGCAGCGCCCGGAGCAGGCGGCTGTGGAGGAGGAGAAGGAAGGAGATGCCAGGAGGCGGCGCGAGGCGCGACACAAGGCACAGAGCGGCACAAGTCGCAGATCCGAGGCGCGGGGCCAGGCGCGGGGCCCAAGGCGAGGTGCGAGGCGCAGACACGGCGAGGTGCAGGTGAGGTGCGAGGCGCAAGGGGGTGCAGCGGGTAGTGTGGGGCGAGGGGAGGCCTGGCGAGGCATGACACGGTGCTGGGGCCACACAGCGCAGAGSGAACCCATGTGCATGGACAGAACCTGCGTGAAAAGTCTCAGATCACAAGGTACCTTCACGGCTTTAAATTTGTGAGGAAAGCCCTCATTCTGCAGCTTCTCCAGGGCGGTTCTGAAGTTGCTGTCSTTAGCGCCCGTCAGAGAGCTGCACGGAGTGGGGTGGAGCGAACGGAGAGGGGAGCCTGCGCCCCGCGAGCTGCCCTCGCTCCGCTCCGAGCGGGTCCCCCCGTGCGCCCCGGTTGGTGCCCACTGCGTCCCTCCAACTGGCCATGTCCGTGCCGTGAGTGCCGGCAGCGGGAGCAGAGGTGCAAAGAGCACCAAAGGAAGAGAAAGATCAGCAAGAACTYGGGAGAGGGCCCTCAGCCTACAAATAATCTGCTGATTCATTTGGAGCTAACGCACCCAGATGCTTAGAACTGCTTTAGACGCTTCTAAAATAAATTTTCTTCACTTATTTTAGTTGAAAGAAAGAAGGGCAATACCATTTCCCCCACCTTTTCAGTAAACATTCAAAGGTGTAACGGGAAGGGAAGCTGGAAGAGACTGAGCTTGTTACCTCCTGATCCATCTCCAACTGTAAAGTCCCCTCCTTGGATCATGAAGTCCTTGATCACACGATGGAATTTACTGCCTTTGTATCCATATCCCCTCTAAAAAAATAAGAAATAATTATTCTAGTGACTAGAGTATCCAGTCCRACATTGTTACATGGGAACAGGCACACGCTGTGAGAGGTCAGATCTCAGAGGATGAGACCAACACTGACAGGAAGCAAATTAAGCTGAAATGCAGGTGAATACACCCAGACTGGGCTGCCATAGAGCAGGTATTTATTACTCAATTGGAAAAAACACAAGTATCTCCTTTTACTGAGGTACTGGTGCCGCATCTTCCAGGCAGGGGTAGGCTGAGGTGCTGGCGTCCAACCTCATCCTCACTTTGTAAATAAAGCTGTGAGGCTTTAGGGAAACACACGAAACATCCCTCGGCCTCCGGGATTCCTCCCTCCCTCCCTGATTGCACTAAATGGAGATGGGCAGTTCACACGTGGAACAGCATTAACAAATATTTGCTTCCCAGCCCAAACCTGAATACACAGTGCAAGGAAACCACAGACATACTTCTCCAGTTGCCAGCACAATGAAGTTCTCCACTGTCTTTGGGACAACTTTTCCAAACAGTCCGATTACAATTCTGCCCACGTCTCTGTCTCCAATCTTCACGTCAAAGAACACCTGGATGTGTTTTATTTATTGTTAAAAAAAAAAAAAAGATATAAATATGAGCAACATCAAAAAGGCCAACCTTTTGAAAGCCTCAGACATTTAAAGATAGTTTGCTAGGTACTCTTAATCTTCATTGTTCTAGGCCTATGTGATAATGAAAGCCTAAATTTCATTAAATTATCAAGCAAAGAGAGTATAACCTTGCTGCTAAAGCAAGTGGTTGTTTTCCTAGACAAGAATTCAGAACTGCCCAGAGAGCCTAGAACCAGGCTGTGTTAGGCATTGCCTAAAAGCTTCAAACAGAGGTGGCTAAAAAGAAKGCTTGAAAAATGAGTTGAAAAGTTAACATAGCTCAAAATATATCGATGCATATTTGAACATGCAAAAATGTTCCAGTGATTACTGAAAACAGGACCAGCTGTCAGGAAATGAGGCATTTTGAAGTTCAGAAAAAGTTATATAAAGTTTATTAAAACTTCTAGGAAACAGCAATGTTTGTTCCTATGATGTGGTATTTGTTGTTCCTTTTGGCACTCAACCAAATGTTACTCGTCTGCAACTCTAAGAAATTAGTCCAATAATGATAATAAAAGACCATAGTCCCTTTCCAATGCAAATGGCCCTTTCATGCTCTCCTGCTAAACGTTCCTACCATTTCTTGATCTTCCACGTAGCTTTGACTCCTCAACTTTTGGATAACTTTATAATGGTACATAATAAAAATAAAATTCCTTTTGCTGCAGCTCATCCATTTCCTTGGCACTTGGCACCAAACAACACACTCCTTCAGTGTGCGACTCCCAAAACATTAAGGGCAGGTTTTCATTAATACGGGCGGCACGTGGAGCTGCACGTTCCTGTCCATGAGGGACAGGACGGGGGGACTGGACGGGATGGGACAGGAAGGGAAGGGCTACGCCGAGCTAAGCGCCTTCAAAGGGGCAAGGGCAAAGCGTTTCGTGGCCGCCGGTGTCCRCCCCGCAGCAGGGACAGCGGGGCAGGAATTCGCCACGCGTGTCGGGGTGCGCGGCTCGGGCCGCCGTCGAGGCCGGCGCGCGCGGCACCATGTGGTGCCGGTTCAACGGCCGCCGCGGGCGCGGGCGAGGCTCCGGGGCGGCCGCGGCGCCACGTCCCGCCCGGGCCCGGCCCCGGGCCGGCTGGCGGGCGCCCGTGCTGCCCGTCGCGCGTGGGGCCGCGTGTCCCGCCGCGCGCTCCACGGCAGGGAGCCGGGCAGCCAGGAGGAGCGTTAGGGAAGGTTGGGAGGAAAGGGAGAAATCAGCAGTGCGTGAGTTAAGGAGCAGAGTCAACAACAGGTTGGCCCCGCAGCGGCGGCGCGGCGGCCGGAGCGGAGCAGAGCAGAGCGGAGCGGAGCGTCCCACCTTGTCCGTCACGCTGGGCCCGCGCCTGGCGCGCGCGGCGGCCGCCGCCGGGGCTCGCGCGCACACGCCGCCCAGGAGCAGCAGCAGCAGCAGCGACGGCAGCAGTGCGGCCGGGCGCGGCGCCCCGCCGGCC